TTCCTCACTATGCACTCCAAAGCTCCAAGGGCCCTTCCTTTCCTCTACAATTGTTTCCTAAGCCCATTTCTTCTATGAGTTACTTCCTCTGCCTCTGCGATTTCCAAATAAATATTCTCTTATTGGAAAAAAAATAAAAAAGGAACAGGGGCCACTTCAATACTTGAGAAGATGTTTAAGGGACTTATGTAATATTAAATAATAAATACTACATATTAAAGTTACCTATAACTAAATAGTAGATCCTCAAGTTGGTTGACGCTCCCTTCTCCAGGGATCAATGAGATTCCTATATGAGAAAAAAAAAGTGGCATCCTTATAAGCACTCTTCCTATAAGCACTCTCCTTTCATCCCAGGTATTACCTCCTGTTCCTCCAAAGTTTAAGAAATAACCAACATTCAAACACAATTTGATTTACAAAAAGCAAATATAACCATACCTTTTCAAGATCACACCATTTACGCAAAGTAAAGAATGTCTATAAGATTGCCGCTGCTAAAGAGAGGCTTCTTAGACAGTTAGGAATGAGGGTTGATAAAAAGTGGGGACGTCCTGGCCAGTATGACTCAGTTGACTGGGCGTCATCCTGTGCTCCAAACGGTTGCTGGTTGGATTCCGGGTCAGGGCACATGCCCCAGTTGTGGCCCGGTGGGGAACGTGCAGGAGGCAGGCGATCATGCTCCACTCTCACGTCAATGTTTCTCTTTCTCTCTCTCTAAAAATAAAAATATTTAAAAAGCAGGGAAAACAGGGACTATGGAATTTAATATATGAAAAAGAACTCTGTAACTATGAAGTAGTTGAAGCAATAGTTAAATATAAAAGGGCTGTTATGACCATGACCAAATGACATTTATAAAGTAGAAAGGGAAAAAATGAGTAATAGTAGTATGACCCTAATTTAGAGAAGAAGCCAAGTTAAAAAATGTAAACTAATGTGAGTAGTGTGGGCAAGTGGTGAAAAAAGATTTAGATACTGAAAGGTGTGTCATAAGGAGAAAAAGTTCAGCAAAGGAAGGTCATGTGGAGGAACTCTTAAATAAAAAAGGCAACCATGGAATCTAAGTTGGTCATAGCAATTCTGATTTCAAACATTCTGCATATCAAATCATTTTGTTCTGACTTTTCATTCAGAAAATAGTCTTTGTTGTACCTATTTGTATTCACAACTCCTATAAAGTTGTCTTTAACATAGGAAAGGCTCAACTGTTTGTTGGTAATGATAATTTCATGGAATTTCAAAGAAAAGAAAATACATTATAAAAACAATAATAATTAACCATTCTTAAAGAATAAAAATATATTTATAGGTGGTCTTTGCCTATTTACTAGTATCAATAGGAAACTAGAGTCTGAAAGATCTGTTTAGCTTAGAAAATTGGTATCATACTCACCTCTGCTGAGAACATCAGTGCTGGGTGGGGATGAAGCCATCATCTGCCAACATCTGAATCATCCTTGCCAGGTTAGGGGGTTCTGCAGAGAAGTTACTGCTACCAGGTCTGACTGCCATAGCTCAGGAAAATGGTGCAGTCATTCCTCTTAGTGTAGAATACACTTGGGAAGAAGTCTGAGAGACCTATGTAATATTAAGCCCCAGAAAGACAGCATTAGTGATGGTTTGGACATGGAATGTAAGAGCTAACAGTTGTGGAATGCTTACTGTTTCAGGAGCTGATGTATAACCTTATTTAATGCTTTGGACAACCCGATGGGGTAGAGGAATTGTTATTAACCCCATTTTATAGGAAACCTAGGCTTAGCAAGGTTAAGAAATTGTTCAAGATAACAAAGGTAGTAAAGTACATGGCAGAGCTGGGATTTGAGCCCATGCAGTCCAGTACCTCAGGGTGTGTATACTCATAACTACAATGCTACAGCTACATTCAAACAGGCTGGAAGGAAAAATCACTTTTCTAAACAGGGCACACTGATTCTCTCGAAAGTGATCTGTGTTCATTTGATCCTATATTAGCTGCTTAATCTTAAACTCAGATTCCAAAAAGTTAGACTGGCATTCATGTGCCAACTTTAAGTAATAGTAATCCCACTTTAAATCTTTAACATCCATAATATTTTACAACTTACAAGAGTGAAAATGGACAGTCTCTCAGTCTCCAAGATAGTGAAAAATGGGGATAGTGCATTCCCTCCAGATGAAATGACAAAGAAATACATATAAACGTCATAATTCATTTATTGGAATTACTTGATTTCAATGAATTGCTTAAAAACAATCTAATACAATAGGTCACTTTAAAAAAAAAATCAAGTGCTGTCGGCATATCGGCAAGTTTCAATATATTTCCTGACAAGGAACTTTTTCATGTTTGCTACATGACTCAGAATCACCTAAATCCATACGACATTATCAAGTCCACATAAATCGTGGCTTTTCCCCTAACCTGCTCTTTTCTGTATCAGTATCCATTTACATCTTAGTGTATCACTTCGTCTTTTGGTGAAAGTTTCGTTTCATTTCATCAGACGATTAAAAAAAAATTTAGTTTTCCTTCCTCTTTTTAAGTGGATGAAATTTTTACTACGGAAGCTGTTGCTACACTACCAAATACCAGTGTCACTATTTAAAAGTAGACCACCCCCAAAACGGAATTACCGATAAAAAAAACGTCAGGTTCGGATCGGCTCCCGCCCCGAAAGGGGGGCGGGGGTGGGGGCTCGCAGACATTCAATTGGGAGGGCCGGGGGGAGGGGCGGTCGGAAAAAGGAGTGATTGATTCAAGTCGTAGCTAAACATTCCCTGCGCCACTTACCCAGCGCA